TTTTGGACCTTGAGCGCGCTTTTCGACTATTACGCTACATTTTGGTCATAAATAAAATCTCTTATTACTCTAAAATTTTATGCAAAGTGTTTGCGGAAATTATCACAATTATTAACCTTTCGAACACTGAATCCAAAAAATACAATCTTATTGACAGATAATACACATAACTCACTGTTTGGATTTGTGGAATTTTTAAACATAAACACATCTATAATTGTATATATTGTTGGATTTATATGTTCAAGTTGCTCCAAGTCAGTGAGTTTATGGTTAAGATATCATTTTAGTTAAATGTACTGAACTATATTGCATGTTGTCTTATTGTATAGTTGTCGTCGCTTTTTGCCCTTTTTTCTGTGAACTGTTTCCTTTGTTGATGTTGTTCTCATTGTTTGTCCGTTATTTTCTGATTTTGAGGGGAGCAACCCAAAAAGTTGCTTCTCTCTAAACTTTTACTTAATGTAATCATTCTTTTCTCAGGCGTGAGGCTAGCAACCCCACCCTGTAAACAAAAATTGCTACAGAACTTCAGTATGTGAACCTCCTTGCACCAAAAGAAAAAGTCTGTGTAGGAACATGGAACGTCCGAACTATGTACGAGACTGGAAAGCTGCCCAGATCGCCAACGAGATGAAAAGATACGGAATACAAGTGCTGGGAATATGTGAGAGCAGATGGAATGGGAGTGGACTCACCAAATTGTCAACAGGTGAGTCAGTGATCTACTCCGGTCACCCAGAAGATAACCACACGCACACCGAGGGCGTGGCTATCATGATGTCACCAACGGCAACGAAAGCCCTGATACAATGGGAGGCGATTTCGTCCAGGATAATGACCGCCAGGTTCAACTCCAAAGGAAGGAAAGTGTCAATCATACAATGTTATGCACCCACAAACAACGCAGACCTCGAGAAGAAAGAAGAATTCTACAGGCAACTACAGGCAACAATGGACAATACTCCAGCTGGCGACATGAAAATACTAATGGGAGACATGAACGCCAAACTGGGACCAGACAATACGGGAAGGGAACTCATCATGGGTAGAGAAGCTCTAGGAGAAATGAATGAAAACGGAGAACTCTTCGCCGACTTCTGCGCCTTCAACGAACTGGTGATTGGTGGCAGTGTATACAAGCACAAAGATATCCACAAGGCTACATGGGTGTCACCAGACGGGCAAACCAAAAACCAAATCGACTTCATCTCAATCTCAAGGAAGTGGAGGCGCAGCCTACTGGACACAAAAGCAAGAAGAGGAGCAGACGTTGGCTCAGACCACTATCTCGTACAAGGGACAATCCAAATCAAATTAAAAGCTTTCAGGGAATCAGGAGCTGCAGATAGACCACAAGCCAAGTTCAACACTCAAAAGCTGAAGGACCAGGCTACAAAGGACATCTTCATTGCAAGCATAAAGGACAAAGCCGAGACACAAATCAACACTAGCGAAGAGGTCGGCGTTGAAAAGCACTGGAACAACTTGAAAACGGTGTGGAGCCAAACCTGCATAGAAATTCTAGGCAGAAAAAAGAGACAGGACAAACAGTGGCTCACTACGGACACTTGGAAACTAATAGAAGAGAGAAGGACAGTGAAGCAAAAGATTATCCAGTGCACGACGAGCAACAAAAACAGGAGCTGAATGCAAGCTACAATACACTGAACAAAAGAGTGAAGAAAAGTGCCAGGGAAGACAAAAGAAAATATTATGAAACCATGGCAAACGAAGCAGAACAAGCTGCAGGCAAAGGAGACCTCGCCACACTCTACCAAACAACTAGGAACCTTTCGGGCAAACGTTCGACACAGATTAAGCCAATAAAGGACGACAATGGAAAGTCAATCACCAAAGAGGTGGAACAGAGAAAGCACTGGGTTGAACACTTCAAAAGACTTCTAAATCGTCCGCCACCTACAACACGTCCAGCAATACCAACAACGGAAGCAGAACTACCAGTGAACACTGACCCCCCGACGAAATCAGAAGTCCTGAATGCAATCAAGATGCTTAAAACTGGGAAAACACCGGGACCAGATGGAATCCCAGCAGAGGCTTTGAAAATAGACCCAGAGACAACAGCGGACTTGATGACACCACTACTGGAGAAGGTGTGGAAAGAGGGCAAAGTACCCGAGGATTGGAAGAACAGTTACTTATTCAAACTTCCAAAGAAAGGAGACTTAAGTCAATGTAAAAACTGGCGTGGAATTATGCTTCTGTCCATTCCAAGCAAGATACTAAGTCGCATCATCCTGGAGAGAATCAAACAAGCCCTAGATGAAAAACTTCGTCCGGAACAGGCTGGATTCAGGAGAAACAAATCATGTATTGATCAAATCGCCACTCTACGGATCATCATTGAACAAAGCTTGGAATGGCAGTCACCTCTCTATCTCAACTTCATCGACTTTGAAAAGGCCTTCGACAGCGTCGATCGAGAGGTCATTTGGAAACTACTTCGCTACTACGGGGTCCCATCGACAATTATACACCTCATCCAACAGTTATACGACAATGCTGCATGCCAAGTAATCCACAACGGGAAACTTACGGAAGCCTTCGAAGTGAGGACGGGAGTGAGGCAAGGCTGTCTACTATCACCAATGATCTTCCTGATTGCAATTGATTGGATAATGCGACAGACAACGGCAACCAACGAGGGAACAGGCATAAAATGGACTGACACAAAAGACTTGGAGGATCTGGATTTCGCCGATGATATATGTCTGATTTCCCATAAACTGGAAGATATGCAAGTGAAAAGTAACAAGTTGGCAGAAGAAGCATCAAAGATAGGACTTCACGTGAACATAGATAAAACAGAGATGATGAAGATTCCTTGCCAACATCAACAGCAACAACAGACCACAATAAGCATAAATGGGAAGAACCTGAAAGAAACAACCTCCTTCACCTACCTGGGAAGCATCGTCTCAACTACAGGCGGAACTGACGAGGACATCAAAGCCAGAATCGGAAAAGCAAGACAAGCTTTCATTACTCTCAAATCTGTGTGGAGGTCAACAGCAATCAGCATCAAAAATAAGATCCGGATTTTCAACTCCAATGTGAAGTCAGTGCTACTATACGGATCAGAGACTTGGCGAGTCATAAAGAGCATCTCAAACAAACTTCAAACCTTCATTAACAACTGTCTCCGCTCAATACTCAAGATCAGATGGCCAGAAAAGATCAGCAACAGGGATCTCTGGGAGCGAACCAATCAGGAACCGATTGTGAAACAAATAGGCAGAAAGAAATGGAGATGGATTGGCCATACGCTGAGGAAACCATCAAGTGACATCACTAGACAAGCCCTCGAGTGGAACCCGAAAGGGAGGCGGCGAGTTGGTCGTCCAAGGGTGACTTGGAGGAGGTCATGTGAAGAGGAGATGAAAGCATGTGGGCAGACCTGGAGCAGGGTGAAAAAGTTGTCAGAAAACCGAAGTCAATGGAGGTGCGCAGCTGAAGCCCTATGTTCCTCTAGGAACTAAAGGATACAATAATATATATATATATAATATATATATATATATATATATATATATATAAATATTATATATATATATATATATATATATATATAGGTCTAGACGGGGCTTACCGATGACGGTTTCCAACCACTGTACAAATTATGTCTCTGTTTAAGAGCGGTTTTACTGTTTTAGGCTTTAAGTACATTAGTGATTATGAAATTTCTCAAAAAGTGAGGAAAAAAGACATTTTGTTTGTTTCTTGTCTTATAATAATAATTATTAGTATTACTGATAATGCTAAAATCATTATGAATCAGTTGCACAATATTATAAATAAATAAATAAAGTAAATAAATAAGTATAACACTGGTTCACTTTGAAATAATAATAATAATCTAAATGCACTGCAACCATAGGTATGGAAATAGCACTACATTTTTGTTCACTTTCACCAACATAAGATGTTTTCATCTTTTATTACACATATATATGCACACATAGATAGATAGGTAAATCTGTCATCAGTAAATTCATTTTCAACAACCAATCAAAACAGAAAGAAATAGAAAACGAGACAGACAATCAACCAACCAACCAAACAAACCAACCAATCAATCAATCACCTGTCAAATGAGGCGGGCAGATAAATGAGCATAATGTTTACATACATAAATAAATAATACTTGAAACTATTATCATTATTATTAATGCCGCAGTTCACACACACAAAAGTGTGTGATGAGTACAGATGACTGACTAGGCTGAAGGAAGTGAACAGTTGATTAATTTATTGAGGTTAGTGTCTATGCGTCTCTCTCTGTGTGTGATAGTGTGTCGATATTTGTTAGAAATCTGGAAAACAAAATCTAAATACTAAGATGGAAGAAAGAGCTGAAAACATAAAAAAAGAAGTAACCAAAATATCATGATAATACTAAATCAGATAGTGATGACACACAACTTCTCGAAATTACTGAACACGAATGAATACATATGAGTAGATAAGTAGGCAAGTAAGTATGGTAAATAGATAATTCAAAATATGTAGAAATCTGTTGAACACATTGGAATAATGGAATCAGAATGAAGAAGAATAGAAAGCATGATAAATTAACCAATCAATAATCAGCATATCTTATTGACAATAGTAATATTAACACAGGTAAAAGATCTGTGCATGCATGTATTGTATGTGTATATGTATGTAATATTACGATTATTGTTGAAATGAAACAAAAAACTCACACTTGTATCACTTCTATTACTCTCAGAGTTACTTTGTAATCAGTCTTACAAAACATGGTAGAAAATAATGTTAGTAATAATAATAATAATAACAATAATGAGATATCGTTATAGGGATTATTAAGAAGATAATGAAAAATAATGGAAAATGAATAAACTAGACTCTCTTTCTTTCTCTCTCACCCTTCTTGTGATCATTGTTATTCATCATTATTTTTATTTTTGTTTATATTATGCATGAATCAATTTTTTCTCTTTTAGTGTACACGTTTAAATAAATGACCATATTTCAAGAGTTGTAATAACAAAGTCAGGCGATGAGGTTAACTGTGGATTATCAAATGTTTCACAACTTTCACTACGTCCATGTAATAATACATCGTCAAGATGAATTGCAGAATGACCTCTAGAATGTAGGGAGCAAAGAAGTATAAATTGAAATATAGATATGATAGGGAAGATTTGTAGCTCAGGTGGATGATTTTGATGATGGTTGTGCTCTCTGAGCTGGATAGTTAATCTGCGAAGCTTTCATCTCCCTACTAGGCAAAATCTTCAGCGCATACTTTAATTTGAAGTGAGCTTTTAGCTTTCTCCGCGAGTTTATTAATCATCTCTCCGGGTCAGTGCCCTTGAACCTGATTGGTTGTTTTTGTGTGTTTTCACACCTTCTAGTTTAATTGTATTGGAAGTTACTCGTATTGAAGTAACCTAGAAGGTGTGAAAACACACAAAAACAACCAATCATGTCCAAGGTCACCGACCAGGAGAGATGATTAATAAACTCGTGGAGAAATCTAAAAGCTCACTTCAACAAATTGAAGTATGCGCTGAAGATGTCGCCTAGTAGGGCGATGAAAGCTTCGCAAATTAACTATCCAGCTCAGATAACACAACCACATCAAAATAAATTGAAATATGTATATATATATATATATATATATATTGGAAATCAATAAGTTTATGTACAAAGTTATTAACTGAGTACATTCCCTAAGATTATTATTATTATTATTGCTCCCATGGGTTCCACTCGGAACCCAAGGCTTCAAAAGAACATCTTTATTTTCCCCTATTTCCCTCAGTCATGTTTAGCTGCCCTCTCCCCGATTGTCCAATAAGCTGTCTTCTCTTCCTCACACTATCTGCTCCATGTCACCTTCGGATACTCGGCTAACCGGCTGTTTCCTTGGTTTGTGATGCAACTCAACGGTCTCATCAGCACTTGTCCAATCCTTCTCCAATTTCTTCGGCATATTTATTGAGGAACAGATTCTTAGTTGGTTCACTCGCAGAGTTCCTTGTTGTTTATTCCTTCAGCCCATCCGATCTTCAATAAGGAGCGAAGGCATCTGATGCAAAAAGTATGAAGGCGTTTGGAAATACTTTTGATGACGCATTTACAAAGCCTTTGAACCATACAGTGAAACTAATTAAATGATAGAAATCAATTAGGAAAGAGGAGATTCCAATGTGTAATTCACAGAGTGTAATTGAAGTGAATGGGGATGATGATTCATATCTTCACATATATGTTTCGATAAACTTTCAAAAAGAAAATGTACTCTCGAATTGTTTCTTCTCTTCATCTCTTTCTCTCTTTGAGTCATGAAAAAAGTACACGGTTTAGCTGAGGTGGCATAGCGGTTAGGACGCTCGCCGACCATGCACATCGTTCGGGGTTCGATCCCCAATCGACGAACTCCTTTACCTCGCTAAACCAGTAATGATACTGGTAAAGAGGAAAGGTTGGGCATGAGGCTAGCAACCCCATCCTGTAAAATAAACACTGCTACAGAAACTTCAAGCCATTAGTTTGAAGCCCTATGTTCCACACTGGGGAACGTGAAGGAAAATATAAAAAATTAGCTGACGTTGTCGATTTGTTTTCCTTTTATGACTAAATCACACTTGTGAGGATGACTACTTGAGTGATTAAACACTCGCAAAGTTCAGCTTTAGATATCCAGAAGGTGCAGAATCACCAATGAACCTAGAAACGACAATCGCACTAAACAGTATATCTGGTGCCCTAACTCAACTGTGAACTTAATCTGTCCTTAATCACCCCCAAACATTTCTCTGGTTAGCTTAATGTAAACCTAAACTTGCTTATGGTTGACTGGATCCTGATGCATACTGTGGGGAGTGAGAAAACAGGAACACTCCTGGCCAACAAGAAGACACCAGAAAAATTTGAACTTCTCAGATGCTTCACATCCTATGTCACATAAACTCGAAGAATAACAAGTTGCCGGGGAAGGTAAGCAGAAGAAAACAGTAACTCAAGTGTACATAAAGAAGACAGAGTTGGTGAAGATAACCAACGAAGAACAACAAGCGCCAATCATTATCAACGAAAGGAATTTGGAGGTCAATTCAAGCAACTTATGTGTGGGCAGCATCGTTTCAATTACAGGTGGCACGGATGAAGATGTCGATGGCAGGCAGGTAGGATTGGAAAAGCAAGAAAGACCTTCATCAGTCTAAAATCATTGTGGAAATCTGCTACACTCTATGGTTCAGAGGCTTGGTGCATCATGCAAAGCATTTTCAATAGCCTGTTGAGGATTTCCATCAACAAATACCTCCGTTCCATACTGATAATTCGATGGCCAATTGAAAAGGATTAGCAACAAGAAGCTCTGGGAACGAACCAACCAACAAACTATTGCCCAAAGTACATATCGAAGGAAATGAAGATGCACTGGACACATGCTGAGAAGACCGTTGTAGGACATCGCATACCGGACAGAACCTCAAGTGCAACCCAAATGGAAAACAAAGAGCTGATTATCCTGGGGTAAAATGGAAGAGATCATGTGAAGAGGGAATTAAAGTTTATGGTAAATCGTGGGATGAGTTGAACAGAATTATAGAGAACAGGGTAAAATGCAGACGAGCTGTTGAAGTGCCATGTTCTGTTCGGAACCTAAGGGAATAATAATAAAGCCTAAGATGTCTTCATCCTAAAAGTAACTTAAGTTTACCCCTAAACTAACCGGATATCGTGTTTAGTATCATCACATATCACTTATCACTTTTTTGATAAACACAGTGTTATTTACCTGGTCTCATTGCCTTGCTCTGACTGAGTGTTCCAAAATCATCGGTGGGTTCGCGCCTGTTGGGAGTATAAAGTCAAACTTCGCCAAGAAATTGAATAAGTCTTAGTGTTTTGGATAAAAACGTACAAGGGGAAATCTAGAGATCTCTTTGTTGAAAGAGATTTACTAAAAATAGTACTATCAACGAAATCAACTCAAACTCTCTGAAACACTCGAGATGATCTCTCAACACTGACCATCTTAGACCAGTGTCTGCTGATCAAAATCTGTCATTCATTTATGCAAAATAATTATTATCCTAAAAAGGAAGCGAAACTGTTTATCGTGATCGAACTATAGTTTGACGTTGAATTATGTATGGACAAAGTCAGTCCACATGATGTTTTGATGGCAGTTTAGAATGAAACAAACTGAAACACACTTTCATCTTTCTATAGCATGCTCACAGTGAGATCTGTTCATCCTTCAGTTCCCTAATGCACTAATGAGTGTACTGTACCGAAAATATGCATGCAGAATCCTAAACGAAAATCGCTTCTCAAGTGGAAAAAGTGTCAGGTGACAGAATTCATTTAGTGTTTGATAAATAAATGTCTGCTGTTACATTAATGTCATGTGAGTTGCAGTAGCTTTATTAGCCAATAGGACGAAGATTTTATATTTTGACCTATCACATTTTAACCAATCACAGTTTTTCTAATTATTTCTCTTCGTTACTAATAGTTACCTACTGGTTTGGGAATATCCTATCGAATTATTTAGCCCGCTTTATCTAACTAAGCAAATTTATTATTTTGATTACTACTTTCTACAAAAACGCATAAAATGTAACTGGTAAACAAATGATCAAAATAAATGATAAAGACAATCATTGCGGAAATTGAATCACTGAATGTCGTTCAACAAGTAAAGATGAAGGGAACCTTTATATATATATATATATATATATATATATATATATATATATATTGTGTGCATTTAATGTAGGCATATATAAAAGTTATTAGTTACATAAATGAGAATTTCAGAAAGAGAAGTAAACAGAAAAGGAGAAACTTACTCAGAGCATCCTATTGTAAGGGAATCATAACCACCATTAATGAAATAGGAATTCTTACCGCTCCATACAAATTTCTAAAATAAGTGGAATTATATGAAAAAAACATTAAGTGAAATTGACTCAGGTTAATTTTGAATGAAAATGATAGTAAAAGTAATAAAAGTTTGTTTGTAGGGATTTGATTCGGAACCCCACTGGCCACTAGAACTCCAGGCGATTTCGTCCTGCAGATGATATCAATCCGTGAACAAACTTGAAGTAATTCAAATCTCTACAAATTAACTCTCGAACTTTAATCCAATGCTCGTTAGTAACGGACTGCAGGACGATGTTGATTGCAGTTCTAGTGAGAAGTCATGAGGTTGGGAATGAGGACAAATACTCACCGATGACATTAGCTGGTGGCCGCGCTAAAATGACAAACTGGTAGAAGTTAGAAATCATGGGCCATTGAGTTGGGTCCAATCAGCTGAATGGTATACCAGCTTACCTTGTAACCGGAAGAGCCTGGGTTTTAACTCTGGCAGATGTGTACTAGCTATGAGTCTCAAACTAGAATGAAACAACTGTACAGTACTCCCCTATTTTCAATGGTTCTCTAACCGATATCGATCTATGACCAAACTCGAAAAATAATAAGACTGATCATATAAAAAAGTTCCAAAGTAGATTTCGTCAAGAACCAATAGGTGACATGGCTCAAAATCGTTGTCAGTGGCGCAGATGTATTCAGTCTCTGTAATCTTTCATATTCCTTTCTACCATTACCCATTCTGTTTCGCTCTTATACTTGTCAAACTCTATCGATTCTCTCCACTCATCTTCTTGTCTACCTTTGTGTGCTATTTGGAACATGGCAACTCGAACTGCTGCACTTCGGTGCCAAGTTCTATGTTGAATCCAGATTGACAAACGAACCTATATCAGTTAGAGAATCGTTGGAAACTCATGAGCACTGGACATCAGTGTTATCCTTTTTTGGGGACCATCCGGCAGTGCTTACACCTAAGACGCCATCTAAGATCGAACCTATGAACTACGTGAGGAAATCTATATTAAATTCATTTCAAATCTCTATAAAAGCCTAAATATAATTATTTCAATCTTCAATTCATTAGTGGTCGCTGGTCTTGAAGTTCTATATTGAGAATTTGCGACTAGTAGAATCTACTGGGCTACGGTGGAGTTGGTCATTGACGACGTTGGTTGGCGTTAGCGCTATATCGAACAGTTCACTGGATTCATATTAAATGGCTGAATGATCGAGGAACTGAACTCGTAACTTGAAGGTCCTGGGTGCAGTCTTTGGGGCGGGGGGAGGTTTATGACCGTGCAAAAGTGGGCAAAAACGTTTCGACCTAGGACATAGCAACTGTCCCTAGTTGATTTTGGTTCATAAAGAAATCCAACACCTAGAATTAATTGAAATTCCTGCATATTCCTAAATCTAAAAATGTAACAAGTCAGAACAAGACATATAAGAGACCAATATTGTTTTCATTTAGATCCTCAGGCTTTACTATAATTTACATAGCCTTATATATATATATCAAAAATTTAACCAATGACAGTGAGTTTAAGTGGGTCAAATAATGATAATAATAATAATAATAATAATAATAATAATAATAGTGTATTAAATGTTTTGAAAGACGGTAGTAACGGTAATTATAGTGATAACGAAATAATGGTTAGAAGACTTATACAGGTGGTGATAAGAATAACGAAGGTGAACAATTTAGTAAATATATGATTAAGCTAAATCTCAAAAGTTACGTTATACTAAAGATGAAGTGGGCAGATAATTATTGTTTAAATAAATATCATGAAAGTACAGAGGAAATGGAATATAAGAAAGGGTGGGAGGGGTTTTAGTCAGAGTTTACCTAAGCCAGTGGAGGGACAAAGGTAGGACAAACTACATTTTTATGCGAAGGCTAGGATTGTTCTCTCGAATTCCCACATCTTTGACTATGGGTAAAAGGCAGGTTCGCATTCCGTTAGAAATGTTCAGTGGAATGCGATAGATAAATCTGAAGTGTCAGAAACGTATATCAGAAACTGTCGAATAAGCGAACTATGAGGACAGTAAGCCTAAGTGAGTTTGTGTAACAATTTTTCAACATTCTTATATTTCTGAACTTTCCACAAGAAGCTATTTCTGAAGGAATATAAATTTTATTATGGCGTTTTCAGTCCTTAGATAAGCTACTATATGTAAACTCATTTGGAAGTTGAGCAGTTCTCTAGTTTAAACTAAAGTGTATACCAAACACTTTGAAAGTGTACATTAGTAAAATTAAGGCAAACAAAGAAATAATTGTAAACCATCGAGGTTTAAGTAAGACATATGTATTAATAGAAGTCTTTGAAAGCAGCGAAAACTAATCAACAAGATAATCACTGTATGCTAACCAGTTCAGCTATCAGTTTTGCAGAGGTGATAGAAGTCCACGGGTAAGACATTTTACTGTGATCAGCCAAGCCTATCTATATAATCCTAAGAATCCAAACTTACTCCCTTAGGAACATATCTAAAGACTCAACCCCTTTTGTAATCAAAGTGATAACTCAACAGTGTTGTAAAAGTAAATGACTGTTAGGCTAGAGCATAGTTAACTTGCCTGAAAAATTTGTTGATTGGCAGAGTCCAAAGCATCAGTGCTATCAAGGAAAAATAAATGAGCTAGTTCATCGGTTACAGTTTCAGTTTGTATACCAAAGGATGAGTGAACATCACAACCAAGATCACGAGGTGATGATGCAGATATAGAGTTCACATCTTTTTGATTAGTTTCATTGTCTTGATTTACTGGAACTGTTAATGAGTCAGCTCTATCAAGTGTTTTTCCTTCTTGATCTGAATTGATCCATCGAAAAACAAAAGTTGAACCATTACCATAAAATCGACCACCACTTGGATAAGGATGTGTATTTAACATTGCACCGAATATCTATTTGAGAAGTAGAAAAAGCAAGTAGAAAAATGTGTAATCGTAATCACAACAGCTTTATTCTGTACAATATGTGCAATATATGCAGTACCTAATTTTTAGTTTAATTCAATATACTACTTATACAGAATCTTCAAATAAAATAGTGATGTACAGTATATCTTTCGGCGAAGTTCTGCTCTACTTACGACATGCTACAACTCCTCACGTATATATCCCTTAAAAACAGACCAAGTGGTGTGTTAGAAGCTATTCAAATATGCACGGAAGTACAGATTGTTCCCCAAAGACGTAAATAAGTGGTTACAACAAAGTATAACTAAGTAAATTCGACACATTGTCCTCTGTGAAAAATAAGGTAGCCAAATCATTTAAGCAGGTCACCGATAGTTTATTTGTTAACATTAGTAAGAACTGCAAACGCTATACATTCAAAAGACAGACTAAAGCCGTGATTGAAAATCCATGAATGAATGATATTTCTATGGTATTTAACACAAGACGGTCAAACCATTCAGAATAGATAGTGCATCATCGCCAACTCAAAATTAAAGATGCCGTATGGCAGAAATTTCATCATCATTTTCATAGATACCGGTAAATGAGGTCCACCATCTTAAATTCTCTATTGTTCCCACTTATTTAGTACGGAACTTGTTGGCAGTTTGCTTGGAATTATACACCTCTAAGTGTAAACTGTTTAAGAAGGCAGAAGTGTTTGTTCGAAAGAATGTTCTGTATTACCACCGATTAAACCTTGAAGGCAACGATGTGAGCTGGCGGTATTATCTACCAGTTTTTGGATTTCATAGTGTACAGAGTAAAACAGATAGGATACATTTTTCAGACTTCATAAAAACTACTGAACAGTGACCTAAAATAGTGTCATATCTGTAAACTATAGGTGTCATATTTTCAGCCTTCATTGAATTTGATCTTTAGTATTAATTAACTAACTTGTAATGGAATGCGACAAAATAACAAAGAATCGACTGAGGGCTGATTATAAGAGCGGGGTGGAAACACAAATAATTAGTTTTTTACAAGTGGTTTCTCCTAATAATGATAGTGTTAATTATCATTTAGTCATCCGCCATGTCAAAGTTTTTCAAATATTACAAGACACTTGTATCAATTCAGTGTGCTTCTTCACTAACAGGAAACAGACTCAACGAAATGTTTGCTAAGGAATACTTACTATACGATGATTTTAAGTTGGAAAGATACTATTTTCTCCTGGTAGGTATGTGTTTAAAAACTACCACTGCTGACCAGTAATACCTACCACTTCAAGCTGGTCTAAATACTGAACTGTTTTTTCAACCGTACTATAAATCAGTTTGACAGTATTCAAACTAAAGGGGGGGTGATTGGCTCTGATGACGTCATTTATGGCCTATTAGTTTCTTCATTGCCTCTGGTAGACCAGGGATACATGGAAAGAAATGCAACCTCATAAACAAGACATTATGAGAGAATGAGACCGAAAATTGGGACTAGGTATTTAGATTATTTGTATTTCAGTTGTTTATTTTGCAGAAATTTTCCTTTGATAAATTTGAATAAGGCATTAAGAAGACAAATTTCTCGACATGATATCTTCATTTCGTCGTTTCTTTACAACCGCTTTACAAATAACATGGTTCACAGTAATAAAATAAAGATCATGACAATTACTCAGTTAAATAAAAAAACAAAAGTACATACTAATGACCAGTTATATTTAGATAGGTCATGCAGTCCAGGGTAGGCGAAGATTGAAGTCTATTGATTTTTGTATACACAGTTTAGGCTGTATGTGATTAATCCAAAGTGCTTCCATCACCTTCAATAACCTTGAATTAGAGTTATGTCAAATAATTGTGAAACAGTCATTAATATTGATTTTGTGACCAGACATTAATAAGTGTTTTGCAATGGACGATGCTGGATTTCCATTCAGATTAATCGCGTTAGGATTTTCGATCTGATTTAGTAGCCATTTTGGAACATGTTCTTTTCGACGACATTGGAACATTTTGTTAGTCCTACCTATATAGGTGTCACTGCAGCTGCAGATGAACTTGTAGATACAGTTTGAAGTAGAGTCCGCAGAATTTCATCCTTTAATCGTAGGTACAGGAAACGAAAATATTCGGCAAGTGGGAAAAAGAGATGCGGCGTAGAATGTGCGTTTGATGGCTGACCGAAGTCTTTGAGTTGTCAACTGCATAATCTGGTCGCCCTTGAATGCTAGGTTGATAAAGATAGCTTTCTTCGGTACAGAAGCTGTCTTTTCGAGATGTGGTGTTTCTTTACTGTGACAAGTGAAAAAGTTCTCTGGATAACCATAGGCTAATAAAACTGAATGTATATGTCGAAGCTGATCCATCAATGTGTCACTCATGCATATTTTTCGGCCCTTGAGAACAAACATTTCACTAGGGAACGTTTATACTGGATAGGAACAAAACTGGTAAAATGAAGATATTGTCCGTTCCATGTGTGTTTACGAAAAATAGATCACTGAATCGTTAACTGAGTGATATTCATGAACTTTATTTTGTCATTGTTAACCATGTTAGTTGTAAAGCGGTTGTAAAGAAACGACGAAATGAAGATATCATGTCAAGAAATTTGTCTTCTTAATGCCTTATTCAGAAATTTTCCTGTTAAACAGACTATCGAGTGAGTAGTGGTAGTCTTTCCTTGGAATTTAAAAATTCCATAGGGACAAAATCAGTTAACAAAATGCACTTCTTTACAATAAGACGGTATTGAAGATAGACAGTATACAAAAATGATGTTCAAATTCAGTACTGATTTTTTTAATATTTTGGTTATGAAGCTTAAGGCGTATCGCATTCATATATAATTCAGAGTAACTATCAGGGGATTTGTTATAATTTTTTGAAATGTTCTATTTCCAGTCATTATAAAAATGCTTTCACTACGGAATATATCTTTTAAATTTGCCTAATTTTACACAAACTGAAAGGTCTACAGGTAAAAGCAGCAAATTGCCAGTGGAGTTGCACGCAGGAAATAGAGGAGGACTTCAAGTGAACAAGAAAGAGAAGAAAGTGATGATGAAGGTGCCTATTCACAACAGGAAGAACAAGTACCAGTCACCATGAACTCGCGAAATCTTAAGAAAGTGACTTCTTTCACTTGCTGAGGCATCATTATTTCATCTACAGAAGGCACAGATGAGGACAATATTGTCTTCAATTAGGTTTCAGACTTTCTTCTTCAGGCTTTACTCTAATTTACATAGATTTATATATAAAAAATTTTGACCAATGACGGTGATTTTGTGGATGAAATAATAATAATAATATGGTAAATGTTTTGAACATAGTTAATAACGATGATTATAATAATAACAAAATATTGATAATAAGGTTTGTGCAGGTGACCATAAGAATAACAAAGGTAGTATATGTATATATGTAGACAATTCAATAAATATTTTAGGTCAAATTTTAAAAGTTACGTAATACTAAAGGTGAAGTGGACAGATAATAAGGATTTAAATAAATATCATAAAAATACGAAGGGGATAGAAAAAAGAAAGGGTGGGAGGGTTTTGAATAGAATTTACCTAGGCCAAGGGAGAGACAAAGGGAGAACAAAGTTCTTTTGTTGTATGTAAAGACTAGGATTGTTCTCTCGAATTCCCATAGCTTGGGCTATGTTTCAAAGACGGATTCGAATTCCGTTCGAAAGGCTCGATGGAATGAGATAGATAACTTTGAAGGCACTATTTTCGTCCACTTGGTGACCGCTATCAATCAGCTGAGCCAAAATAGAACTTCTTATAGATTTTATTTGACCTTTTCCAAACCATGGAGGCAGATGCTCATTAATGCGTTTTTTAAGCTATCTAGTTGTTCACCCTATATAGCGCTCTCCACAGGAGCAACTAAATTTATAGATACACATAGATGTGGCACAGCTATGTAAATTAGAGTAAAGCCTGAAGAAGATCTAATTGAAAACAATATTGTTCGCTTATATGTCTTGTTCTAACAGAAGAGGACATCAAAGCTAGGAACGGGAATACAAGACAAACCTTCAAAACTTATAAATGAGTTTGGAAGCCTTCTGCAGTTAACATGAAAACCAAGATTCGAATTTTCAACACTAATGTCAAGTTAGTGCCACAAAAAGCATTTTCAACAGGTCCTAGAGCTTTATTAACATATGCTTTCGATCCACAGTGAGTATCAGGTAGCCAGAAAGGATTAGCAAAAGGAACTTTACAAGGGAATATAAGCAACCTATTACCCAACAAATATGCATAAGAAAAAGAATATGCATCGGACACACACACACTGATGACACCATTGAGTGCTTTGCCCTCGAGTGGCACCCAAACAGAAAACGTTAAATTGGGCGCGGGTGTCACAGAGACTATGTGAAATGAAGATGACAGTATATAGGCAATCGTATAGCCGGTTAAAAAGAACAGCAGAGAACACAATGATGTAATTTTGAAGCCATATGTCCAGGTCACGACCCGACCGGAACAAAAATAATAATCTTCAGACTGATGGGGACTGTCGAATCTTTTATACTCTCAGTGATACCTATGGTTATTGACAAAAGGCAGGTGATAGACCTACTTTAAGACAAGGTTAAAATGCATCAACATTCTTGAATCAATACAAGAAGTCGTTAATCATCAGAATATGTGAAGTTTATAGAATAAAAGCAAGATATGAGCAGCTTAATATCATTCTTCTGCAAAAGAAGCAAGCAATTCATTAGATTGATCTTCTTTGTTCATATGACATTGAAAAAATGACGATGCTTCAGTTTAAAAATAAAACTAGCCCTGAAGCATATTTATTATTGTTATTATTAGGTTTATTAAAAAAGCTTTTTTTTAACACAAACCAATGAAGGATTATTTCTAGTTAACTTATTAACTGATATTTATCTGACTGGAAAGGCTTTGAGATGGAAATGAATTCGATTTATGACATTTGTTTGCGAAATTTTGTTGAGCATGCTGA